GGAGAGACATTGAAGCTTCTAATTACTGCATAGCAGTCCAGTAATGATAAAGAACTTTACATGGTTGCCATTTAATTTATGGTAGGTTATTTCGGTAAGAACTTTGCGAATAGCCCACATAAAGACCAACTGTCAATGGAAACAACTCAGATTTTACAAACTTTTTGGTAACACTAAATAACGCCTCTACATGGGCTCCTTGAATTTTTAAGCCTCAATACACACCTAACAGAATGAGGCTACGATCATTCAAACCGATCACAATAGACAGATTTTGTAACCAAACATTTAAAACGAAACCAATTCAATGGATCACATGGTTCAAAAAAGGATTACTTCATTCCTGTCACCTAATTTGCCAGAACTTTGTTGATAATGATCCTGTAAGATGTTTAAGCAACTGGGTGAACCGATCTCATCCTCATGAGCCAAAATGAACCCAAGTGAACTTTTCCGCTCACGTGAGAGTAGGTTAGACTACTGACTGGCAAAAAAACGTCAGTACGTCTTCAAAATCAGACAGCTTTCAAGATCTTTAATAATATTTCACAATTCATAGACGTCGCAGGGACTGCCATCACGTAAAAAGGCACTCTGACACCACTATCAATTTTTGTTCTGTGAAAAGTGGAAGTGCGGCTTTGCAAATATTCAGGTAAATGAAGACATCTCTCTGATTCAAAGCTTTCACACTCCTCATAAATTCAATGAGGTAGTCGCATCACATCATCGTCCTACTGTGCGCAAACGCAGAGATACTAGGCGAAATGGAATTCGCTTGCGATGATGCAAATTAGGTAGAGTAAAAAAGACTACGACATACTTGGAAGAGCGTAGTCTCTTCCTAGGCGACTGAACCTGGTTTGGTTTAATGTCAGGAAAGGCCTCATCAAGAATCTCTACAGACCACTGATTCTTCGGCATCTTGGCAGAAGCGAGGGAGAGACGCAGCCGCAGTGGTGGGGTAGAAGGAGTGGAGGTAACAACAGCGACGGAGGGAGAAGGCTCAGGCACCACAGAAAGGTGTCCATCACCCTGACGACTCAGTCGCAAACGGAGGCTGCGAGGTTGGAAGGACGATTCTTTCTCCTCCTCCTCCTCCTTCTCTTCCTCCCCTTCCTTCTCCTCCTCCTCCTCCTTCTCCTCTTCCTCCCCTTCCTTCTCCTCCTCCTTCTCGCTTACCTTCTCTTGAGTGTCAGCCTCTATATTCGGCACCTTCCAGTCCTCCAACACCTCTTCATCAAGATGTAGTGGAGAGAGAGCAGTAGTGACTTCATGCGCAGGAGAAGACCTTAATTTTAGGAATAGACAAACATTCATATAGCATTTACATGACTACCACATCAACAAGTGCCCTAGCCTAAAATTTAGCCGAGCTAAAA